GCGGAGGTGGAGATCGGCGGCGACTTATTCGCCGACTGTAATTCGACGACTTCTTCGTTCTGTCTCGATAGTCCGTGGGACTGGGAAAGCCTCGCCGGCGGCCACCGGATTTGGGAATGGGACGCCGCCGATCCCGATGCCGGAGAAGCTGAGGCCGGCGCCGCCGAATCCGACGCCGTTATTTCTTGGCTTCTTTCCGAATCTTAGGAAAAAGAAAAAAATAATAAAATAAATTGTAAAAGACGGAAAAACCAGCGGAATCTATGATTTACTGGTCTTTGTATGTAATTAAAACTGGTCGAAAAAGTTTGTCAGATAATTAGGACCTTTCGTTTGTATTTCCACTTTCAGCCTTCCCCTTTCTAGGAAAACGAAATTTAGCTTAAATTAAAATTTCATCTCAAATTTTTCTAAGTTATATCCTAAAAAGATTCTGTACTCTAAAGAGTTTTTAGCTAGGGTTGTCTGTATTTATTCCTTTTAATACATAATAAAAAAGAAATACAAAGTTTCGAGCAGAAACAAGATTTTAAATGTTGATGTCAAATTTTGTTTTACAACCTTGACATCGACACAAGAGAAAATCAAATTTCTTCATATTCGATATGTCCAGGACAAGTCGAATAAAATGTCACTCCCACGTTTCTTTTTTATAGACTTTCTATTTTCCTTTCTTAGGTCTTGGGAGACCTGAAATAAAATAACTCAGAGAGTGAAACTAAAAAAAACCCAGAAGAGGATCTTGGAAATAGAGTATAGAAAAACACAAACATATGCATGTGAGGGTGAAATTGGCAGCAAGCTCAAAATAAAATAGGGTTTTCAAAAGTGAGAAATAGACAAAGGGGAAGAAGATTAATATGAAGAGAGGGAGCCACACCCCATCTGTGAATATGGCCTTAACTTTTTTGAGGAGAGAGAAATGTACCCAAAAAAAAATCAATAATGAAGAGAGGGAGGAAGAAGAAGAAATTTTTTTTTAATACAATATGTGGATATGTTTGAAACCTCTTGTTTAGAGATGAATGTCTTAACCATTTGAGCTATGTTCGATTTGGCGGAGGAAGAAGAAATTTAAATTCATACTTAGATAATCCATTATTTTGATCGTGATTTTTTGTAAAAAGTAATAAAAAACTATTAAAAATCAAAATTTTAGTTAAACTTTAACTATAAAAAATCTAACAAAATCAAAATAAATTATAAAAAATTCGATTTGAAATTAAATTTAACTAACAAAATCTTAAAATAAACAAATAAAATAAAATCAATTTAACTAATTAATATTAAACATTTTAAATTTTAAATTAAATCTAATTTTTTAAAAATTATTTCATCTTTTTATGTATTTTCTCAATTGTGTAACTAAAAATTAGATTGGATTAAAAGTTATCATTAAAATATAGTCAACAAACATTAAACTTTAATTTACTAATTCAAATAATTTCCATATATGTATACATAATTTTGTTTCGACGTTTTCATTGCGACAACATTTCCATACGTATATTAATTATATATTTAGATATGATACTTAAAAGTGACTAGTTATAGGCTAATTAAGCTAAGTCTTATTCACTCGTTCAAAATATTTACATCAATATCCACAATTTTCATAATTTTTCTCGAAATATCCGTCGACATCAACATATCCATAACATGTCCGTAAAATTGAGACCTCGACATTTCCATCAACATCGACATTGACATTTTGAACCTTAATGCCAATAGAAATATGAAAGTTTAAATTTTATGAAATGTCATAATATTTCTAGGAAAGTCATAAAATATATTTAAATTAATAGATAAATATTTTATTACTATTAGTATTATGTTCAGATCAGTGATATTTTATTAATACTTCAATTTTTTATAATGTAATTTAATGGGTCATTTATCTTTGGTATCGAACTCACAAACATGAAAATATCGATGGAAATGTCAACCTGACAACGTAAATTTAAAACTATAAATAAAAATGATACAGTGCGTTCCAATGAACAAGTCATAAAATATCACAATCGTATTAAATGCTGACTACTGCAACTTTGTATTTAAACATTCAAGTTACTTCAAATTCAATTTAACAAGGTTTGAAACTATTTTCTAGATTCTATATCTAAAGCCAAAAATTTATTAAAGAAGGTGGGTGGCTGATATATATCCCATCAATGATTTTCCTTTTGCATTAATGAATTTGAATTGGTTAGTCAATTTTTATCTTGAATTTTTAATTTAATTTCATTCAACCTTAGACTTAGGCACAAATGTTGCAATTTTTTTATCTTCAAATGGTTGATGAAGTTGAAGATTGAAGAGAAAGTTGACATTCAAGTTGGATTACTAGTTCATCTTATAATTTTTTTTAGTACCATATGTGAAAATGGAGGATCGAACTCACAATCTCTTAGAAATATATGTCAATTTCCATTGAATTAGGCTTGTTTCGACTCATCTTATGTTCTTTTTTTTCAAACACGTTAATTAATCTTATGTATTTGATTGGTTATGGTTTGACTTTGGTAAGTTAAATGGATAAGACCTAATTTTGTACCCTAATTTATTTGAGCTTTTTTCTAATTGAAATTAATAAACATTTACTTTTTTTTTTTAGAACAAATAGTGGGCTGTTATAATAGCGCCATAACCTAAGGTATGAAACTATGAAATAAAACATTTAAAGTGAAAACTGGTTCACCTTATCAGCAAGGGGAAAAATTATTAGTTTCTTCCATAAATATAATTAGTTGGTCAACTTCTTAATATGTATTACTTTAAAATTTGCATTTAAAACATATTTTTTTGCAAATAATTTAGAAACGAGAAACGCAATGCTATCACATTCACACGTATGGGTTCCAAAATTTGTTCATAAAAGTATATACTCATCAGATAAATGAAGGATGAAGTATATGTTAATGTCCAGTATCGATTAAATAGTTTAAAACCTAAGAACTAAAATAGTTTTTTATACCATTGTTCAAGCACTAAAAACAATTTTGCAAGTTGAGGAAATAAAAAATGGACTAAAATGTGTGAATGTTTGGAGACAAAATTAAGATTTAAAACAAAATAATATTAAAAAAAGTCTATATATTATGTAGTCCCAAATAAAATTATACACGTAGTGTGATTAATGTGTCACAATTGCATATCTTAATAATTTAGTCATAGATAAAATCATCCAATATTACAAGTAATCTTCTATTATTAATTCATAGATCAAATCATCCAATATTACAAGTAAAAAATTAATCTATTATGTTTTTTTTTTACATTAAAAAATTTTACACATAGTTGTTGCACTACAACAATTGTTACCTTCAATGTCAGTTGTTGGTTGACTAAATGATGTCGGTTGACTAATTATTTTCATAAGTGTTGAGATTGGTTGAGTAAAATCGACGTCAGAATGAGTTAGGGATGAGTCGGGACAAAGATAAATGAAAACAAGTAAAGTAGAGAGTTGCAAACCGAAGAGGCCAAGGAGGCAGCATTGAGGCGGTGGGACGATGCCTTTTGTCATGGAGAACAAAAACGACCCGAAATGGGACAATGAGTTGAAGTCTGAGATCATTGATTGGGGGAGACCGGCCCGTGACGTAATGGGCCAGCCCAAAGAA